CCAGGTCGAGGCTGTAGTGGCCGGGAGCGGCCACTGCACTCCAGTCTGGGTGACAGAGTGAGACTCCAACTCAAAACAAAAAACAAAAACAAAAACACTGCAGTCTGCTGAAGTCCCAGTGGAGGCTGCAGCTGGCGTGTGGGGCTGAAGGGACGCAGGCCAAGTCCAGAGGAGAGCCCAGGCATGAACAGGCCCCATGCGGTGCACTGCATCTGCTGACGGTCACAAATGGACTTTGCATCTGGCTGAGGGATGTGTCCCGACCTTCTGCTGGGAACAGCAGCTGTCCACCCACCTCCGTAGTACCAACCAGGCATGCCAGGGCAGAACAAAGGTGGAGTCCTGATTCTGTGTGTATGACATGCTAGGGTGGAGTGCTGGTGCTCAGTCCTGTGTGCAGCGAGGGCGGGGCCTATGGCAGAAGCTTGGGGGCACCGTTGCAGCAGAGAATTTCCACTGGTGGGACATCCACTAAGCTTGCTATGACTGAGAACGTGAAGCAGTCCTGAAACCTGAACTGCCTGCAAGTCCAGGATGTTGGAGAAACTCCCTGGAGGGGACTGCAGTGCCCCAAAGAAAGAGGTCTGTAATAGGCCAGGCACAGTGGATCAAGCCTGTAATCCCAGCACTTTGGGAAGCTGAGGTGAAAGGATTGCCTGAGCCTGTAGGTTCACGACCAGCCTGGGCAATGTGGTGAGACCTCATCTCTACAATAAATCACAAAAATTAGCCAGGCAAGGTGGTCTGTGCCTGTAGTTCTAGCTACTTGGAAGGCTGAGGTGAAAGGATCACCTAGCCCAGCAGGTCGAGGCTGCAGTGGCTGTGAGCCAGCATTCCAGCCTGGACTACCTAGTGAGACTCCAACTCTACATAAATAAATAGCAAAAATCCATTTCCTAATGTGAGAAATTTTAACTATATAGTTCAAAGTTTAAGACTCCCTACCAATATTCTAAGATTATAATTATTTCTAATAAAAGTAAAAATTCTAAAGGCAAAAACAAAAAGTTGAATGTGAGTTGTTTCGATTTAGAGATAGAAGCTATAAACAAAATTTAGAAAAACTAAATGGGGAAATTCTTACAAGATTCATCAACATAGCTAACTCAATTCTTCCTAGAGAAAGAGAATCAAGGATAAAACAAATGGACGAATCCCGCAGGAGCATCCAGAAACCAATGTGTGTATTTGTTTAGCATGACCCACTCCCAGCCACCACAGACACCCTCCATTATTGCTGGCAGATCTGAATTCCCTGATCTCTATCCTTGCCTACGTCGGGAAGAGCTACAGAGAAGTCATAAGACAGCCCAAGACTGAAGTGCAGAAAGAAAGCAAAATGAGCCCAGACAGTCAGTCTGTGAATTACCCTAGAGAGCAAAACGGACAGTTTTATGGAGCAGTCTGAGAGTTATTTGTTTCACTTTAGCAGGAAAAGCAGACATAAGACACAGGTGAGTAAAGCAGATTAAATGTAAAATATGCAAAGCAAGTTGCTCACATCATGGATGAACACGTGAGGGTCTCTGGCTTGACTTTTTTTCCCACTTGCATCTTAGTCTTAACTTAAAGGAAAACGCCAATATTCAGGCCAAACTGTCTGTTGAGTGACATGAGAACCAAATGGCCATATGGCGCACACACTAAGAAGTACTGTAGCACTGTATACTTTACTATGTGTACATCATTTACAGTGCACATAAGTACATGAAGTGAGGAGATACGGCACCTGGACATCCCTCCTGGCGGCCTTGGCTCTGCTCTCGGCAACCTTCTTCCGGAACTCCAGCAGCACCTCCTTACAGTCTTCCAGGTGGACCTCGGGCTCCCAGGTGTCGTCGTCCGACGTGTACCCTTTCCAGCGCACTTTGTAAAGAACTCTACCCTGTTACATAAATAAAAGACAGCATTGACTTGATTCAATTTCCAAAAAGAAATCAGAGGAGACGAAAGAACCTGAAAACTGCTTCTAGACGGAAATTCACATCACATCATAAAGAGTATCCATCTTCTGAGGCAAGTGGCTTAAGAGAGACAGCATCATCAAGCTATTTTTCATAAACCAAAGCCTAAGAACTTTTTCTGATTACATGAAGTCGTGTAATACTTGAAAAGCAATAAAAAATAGGAAGAGCCAAATAAAAGTCATCCAAAGATACATTGGTATAATTTTAATAGCATTTTTGCTAGTTTTAGTATTTTTTAAAATACGATTTTTAGTCACTGAAGATTATTCTATCCTATAAACTAAAAAAATTTCCCTTTATCACAAAAGTAGTTACAGTTGTTTCTAAATTTTTGTTTTTGTTTTTTTTTTGAGTTGGAGTCTCACTCTGTCACTCAGACTGGAGTGCAGTAGCCGCTCCCGGCCACTGCAGCCTCGACCTGCAGGGCTCTGGTGAT